TCGGGTGGGAGGGAACCAACGAAGTGGACGAGTACAAAGGGTGCGTCAGCGTTGAGCCCTTTTTCGCGTAGGCGCGAGAACAGCAGCTCGATCGAGTATAGGTGCTCGACGGGGTTTCTGCTGCTGTGTGTGGGGATCGTGAAGTTGAACATTTGCTTCATGAGGGCTTTTTTCGAGCTCTGTGATTCCGCATCGTAGATTTTGTGGAGTTCTGCAAGGATCTCTTTTGCGGTCTCGCATTTGTTCACGATCGCCTTGTCGGCTTCTGTGACGATGGCAGTGGTCACAAAATGGAACGCTTGGAGGCCCCTCTGGACCTCGTCGCTGGTGTATTGGAGGCGGTACAGCTCCGAGCTTGGCACGTTTGGGTTGCCGACAGGTGCATATCTCTCGTTGTTGCCGATCAATTGGCCGTCCAGTCCTACAGTCTTGGCCACTTGGATAAGCGACTTTCTCCACGAGTCATACCCATGGCCGCGACACTCCCCTTCGAGACGCGGGGCATTGACTGTTGCTCTCATGTGGCTACTGCTGTAGCCGCTGAGGAATTCTCCACTTCCTCGAAATCACGGGTATCTCACCTGGGGGGTTTAACCCACTCGCTTCCCCGTAGTCCGGTCCTATGCCCGGGCCCACTCCGGCTGGTCCAACAGGGTTCGCTCCCGATCTGCTGGCCCAGCCGCCTTCCAGCAGCTGCCGTGGTCCTTGGCCACCATCTCTCGTTTGCCGATGGAGAAATCCCCCGTCTCCGCCGTGCGGCTGCAGGGGCTCTTGTTGACCTTCGGTGGCGGCAAACCAGCCGCCGCTACTGGCTGCATGCGCCACGACGCTGCCAGGCTCCTGCTCCTTTATCGACTCCACCAGGGCCGCCAATCGCGAAACCTGCAGTTGCAAACTTGCAAGCTCCGCATCGCTGCCCTCCTGCACCGGCGTGCGGATCTGTTCTCCGTTCGCATCAGTGCGCTCTTCGTTTCCGGCAGAGCTCACCCCACTGTGGCTTCTCTCGAGGGGCAAAAAACTCTATAGCGTGTTTGCGGCCTACGCCACTTATTTATCGGGTGAGACTGTTTTGGTCATGTATTATTTTCACGAGAGGTAGACGACCGTCCTTCACACGGACGAAAGAGGGAGCGCTCCAAACAGAGCGGCTCCAACAGCAAGGAGGGGCCCCGTGACTCATCGCGGTGCCCCCTACCAAACGGCAATCTTACCAATCTGCGTGACACCAAATCATGCAGAACATGTATCCAACACCAATGTTCGCAGACCCACTAGCAAGGCACGACTTTCTTTGCGAAGACAGTCAGTAGCGCGGCGCAAGTACGCAATCTGAACCGGTCCCGCGGGGAACAATCCTTCTGATGACGCACAGCAGCAGCAGTAGTAGACCCTCACGCCCTCGACGGAGTCTCTCGATAATGGTAGCTGTGATCTGGACTTGTCGGAAGGTGTATTTTTCGAGGGATCATCGGTCTGCTCTTTTTGACGCAGTTGGTTGGACCCATTCAGCATCAATACACACCCGCCAGGTTACACATGGCGCGTGCCTACAGGACACCCACGGTGCGCAGGTCGTGTAGGCCCGGCCCCTCCTGGTTTTCATAGCTGGTCTCAGACCAGCGTTTCAGCGGTGATGCGTTTGTTGGTGGTGTTCTTGCGTCTCTGTCGGTGCTTCTTGTCCTGGTTTGAATCGCGCGTGCGCGCGATCTCCGCTTTTGTGCACGCCTTTTCGCGTAGAAACCCCGGGGTTGGGGAGCAAAATCTCCTACGAATATAGGCTACATATACCGGTGAAGCACGGCCATCTGCTCTCGGAGCTCGACGAAACCGGTGTGGAGAAGAACGCGCTATTTTTCTTCTTCCTCAGAAGAGAACAGATCGTCGATCGGTGCCCCATAGATCTCGTTCTGGTCCCAAAGGTGTGCAAAATAGGCTTCCCCGTAATCAATTTTTGGGGCCCCTGTATCGCGCGGCGCAACCTCGGCCGATATATAGACTAGAGCCTTTTGTCCCCTTCTGGGAACGAAGGGAAAAAATATCGCTCGCTTCGCTCGCTCCGCGGCTCATGACAAGTATTTCCAATTTTGACTGCTTGCGGTCGGAGGTATCACGTAAAATGATTCCTGGACGTCTTGTCCGGCATGCCTTATCTACGGGACATCTCACCTATGCATACCTTCATGAGGATTGTCGTGATATGTTTTTGAATCGATATATGTGAACTCCACATTTTGACGTCACGTTCTAGTTCGAGTTGAGTTCTGGAAGCATCGCAAATCTTTTTGGCGCGTATGTTTCGGGTGCCTCTAAAAGGGAGGTGCATGCTCAACATGCCTCGCCGCCTTTCAGCAAACCCGCCTACTTCCCTCCGCCTCAGACACATGGGCGGCAGCGACACCTCCACGATCTCGAAGAAGGCCCTACGAGAGCAACAACCGAGCGCCCCGACACCATCGGCATCGCCTGCGGCTGCTACTGACGACGCCAGTCACGGACGGCGCAACAACTCGCCCGGCGGGTGTTCACAGAAGAAGCTGTTGACGTCGGCATCTTCGATGGCAGGTACTATCCTCAAGGCCTCTGTTTACGGTGAGGCACTAGATGCCTCAAGTTTCGTTTGTCGTAGAGGCTGACTGATTGGGCAGCTACAGGATTTAACGATGACGACGTGGTTTGGTTTGATATTTCGCCTGGCACGGATGAGCTTAGGCTGCTCTGCTGAGTCCGAACGACTGAATGAGATGCTGCTGCCGGTTGCTTCGCGAGTAGCTTGAGGCGTGACTAGAATGAAATACTCTCTGGGAGTTGTCGATGGCCCTTCAAATGACAAGTTACTGCACGGTGGCAAAGTCTCCGATCTCTATCTATTCTCCAGGAGGTAAAATGTCTGGCACCCGCAAAGGCCGCTTACCCAAAGGGGTCGTGTAGGTCCGGTCGTCGCCGGCTTTGTTGAAACAGCTGTGTTGGCCGGACTACAGCAATTTCTTGCACCCTTGCGGAATGATCGGTGCTGTTGTTATTAGCGTGACATGTTCCGCAGCTTGCCCTCCTTTCCAGGTCACGTACTTCGTGCCCTTACCTAGGGGTCTGTTTTGCCTGGTCATAGTGGCATAAGAGACAGAACCAGCAGCACGCGTGGCAGCCGTGCACCTGCGCCCAGAAGTTGCGCAGGTCGAGATCTCGACAGAGGTTCAAGCGCAAGCGCTATCAACCGAGGGCGCATTGAATTCACCCTTGTTTGCGCTTGCGAGATGTTATTAGTTGAGTTGCTTCCGTGCGTGCTCTGATCTCCCAGCCATCGTACGCGAGAAACAATACAGGCCTGGTCAATGCATATAACGAGGCAAACACTGTAGTTTAGGAACCATCTTCAGCATCGTGCGCCTTTTGAGCTGATCCGTTCAATGAAGGTCTACAATGTACTACCGGCGTGGATCAGGCGCCCACCATGATGCCTAACAAATACTCAGATCCCAAACATCTGCACTGTCTCCTCTTGCACCCTCCTCCCCGTCCCTCTCCTGACGGGAAATGGTGTTGGTGATTACACCACCGCACAGGTTCCGACCTCGACCCCAACCCCATGTCGTCAAGGCCTAAAACTGCCCCGGCAGACGAAACACGCGGCACGTCCTCCTCGCTATCGCCCGGTGTTTCCCCTGCATCCTCCATGTCGCCACCTCCGACATCCACGTCATCTCCGAAGACGCTGCAGGCCCCGACGGCTCCTCGCTGCGAGGTACAGACACACGTGTTCGGTGATGCTGCTCTTTTTTTACCTTCACAATGTGGATGCTCTTCATTTACTTTCACGACGTGGATGAAACGCAGTCGTTAACTTCATTAGTAGTTTGTGTGTTCCGCGGTTGACGCATCTAGGAGAAGGCCCGTATGTTTTGAGGAGTGTGCTGAGCAAGTGTGTAGCCCTACACCGCGCACATCGAGGTACCATATAGCAAGACCGACAAGTTCTTGGTCGAAGAAATTGTTTTGCATTTTCGAGAAGTAGTAGGTTAATCCGGTGTTCCATTTGGAATCGTTGTGTTTTATGCTTGTGCATTTATGTGTGCTGTGCCTGTTTCAAGTTGCAAATGAGACCGGAACGGAAAGGATGAGCGAAACATGAAACTCCTACAGTAGCTTCATGTCCTCAGGTGATACCTCCCTTTACGAACATGTGCCCTAAGTGAAAGCGAACTCGCAAGAGAAACATTTTGATCAGTTATCACCGCTCTTTTCGCATTCTGTTTACGCGTGTGTTCATCCCGAACAGTATCCGGGGTGCCCGAAGTCTGCAAAGTATGGCCTGAGGGACGCCCCGCCCAGCAAGTGCCAGGCTCACAAGAGGGCCGGTCAATACACAACGAACCGCCACGGAGAGCTGCTGATGGCAACCCGTGACGGCGACGGTAAGTTACAACCGTGAACCCGCTGTTGCTGGTGCTGCTGGTGCTGCAATTGTTCCGATCGGCGTCGATGTTTTCTCAGTCAAGCCCTATCCCGAAACGAAGTCATCGGGTGGGGGAGACCTTGCGGAGTTGTGGGTACGCCTTCAGAGTACCGGGACACGCCTTCTCTTTCTTCGTGTTACCGAATTGCTTTCCACCGCGAGCTATAGTTTATTTCCGATGCTTGGTCAACGTCATAGCATCGATCGCGCATCCCCAACCCGGTCGTTTACCCGTACAACGTTCTACTCCAGCATTTCGTAGGGTAAATAGTAACGGTTGAACCTTGAGTTCCACACCGTTCTCATCGTTGAAGAGAAGCCCCTCGGCGCCCGCGCCGTCTCATACTTCGCATCTTTTCGTGTTTCGCGTCATTCTCAAACGGTGGCCATGCCTTTCCCGCTGTGCTGCCGTAGCGTTCCGGACACCGGCGGTGGCGGTGCCAGTGCCAGCAGTGACGGTGCCCCCCTCCCCAGCCAGCAGTGAAATTGCAGGTGAAAAATGAGCGCGGTGTCTGTCTATTATTGTGTCGCCCGTGTTTCAACCTTGGCCCCTAGGGCAGGGCGGAAGAATGCATTGAACAGAGCATGGCGCGTGTCTTCCACTTCAATGTATGCCCTTGCTTCCGTAGTGGTGGTGGTGTTGCCGTGCCGGCGGCGTTTGTTGAATTTTTTACCGGTGGTCCACTCGCGCCCTGAACCATTGCCATCCGTTTCATGGAAACTGTTGTGTGAGTCGGCTCCAAGCAAGTCTGACGGTCTCGACTGGGGGATAGCAAACCTGCTCACGTATTTCCAGGCTGACAGTTCCATCACACCCGGCGGGTACCCGACCAGCGTTAACCAAGAGAGATTAAGATTCATCGCCTAATGGATGTATCACAAAGTATGTTGCCACATGTTTTCGGACTTCTTTCTGCTCTCGAGCAGGCAGAGCGGGTATTAGCCAATCAGTCGGCTCGTCAATAACGTCCTTTCCAACCGCAACTACCCCTTAATCACCGTTCTGTCGTTTGTCGCCGTCTATTTCCACGATTTTCTTTCTCTCTTCGGCTGGTTGACAGGGACGGAAGCGGCATCCGCCCAACCGCGGCGGCGCTCTACAGGAAGCACCGGCTCCTCGGTACCCTCTCACCGCAAGCCCAAAGCGAAGCTTTCTTCTTCGGTGCACGCGTTGAAACGTAAGATACTGGGGGGTGTACCAGCAAGTGGCTCTGACCGGCTGTTGTTTCGTGCGCATGTGTGATACAACAAGCTGGATGTTTGTGAATGCATTCAGCAATGACACACCAGTTAGCCTGGCGATCTAAACCACTCCCACAATTCTCATGGCATTGAGCGTACGGAGGGAGTGGATAACGGTTGTATGCAACGTAGTCACTCGAATTTTGACACATAGAGCCGACACTAGTCCGACTCTGAGTAGGAACACCTAGTGACTCACTCTGCGCCATTGGTGTTCTCAACGCTGGGTTTTCCTCTACAACTCCAATCGTGCTACAGGCAAGAGCCGACCGGGGACATCATCAAGCAGACATGAAGAAAGCAGGGCACCGCAATACCACTCCTGCCTCTTTCCAGAGTGAGACAACGCATAGAGATGAAACCGAAGCTTTCTCTTGGAACACAGAGTTGCGGTGGATCCTGATCACGGTTGTGCTTGAGAGCTGCGATTGAGGTCGAGGTGTCTTTCAGTCTCTGGCTGTCAAATCATGGAGGTCGTAGATTATTTTCACCGCAGCAGCAGCGGTGTAATGAATGCAACGGCGACAGACCTCGACTTCTGTTGCACGTTGTTGACGAAAAACAAATGTTGACCCTCGTTCGTGGGGAGATATTATTTGCTGAGGTGTTTCGAGTGCTGTCGAAATATCATGTTGTGCTCGTTCGCAACGTTTCACCTCTTCCCCCTACAACCTGGTGGCAATCGTTTAATGTCTCAGGTGTGGCGCTCGCCCTATCTACGGCCTGCCGGGGGCGGCGCGCGCTGCATACTGCTTCTCCCACAAGAAGGGCTCGATGGTCGACCTTTTCAGCGAAGCGCCAGCTGTGAACAACCACGAAGCGAAGAGGGTCACCCCCGCGGCACCTACCGAGGGCAAGAGGAAGAAGCAGAAGAAGGGGCACGAGGAGCGGAAAATGACCGGCATGACCGCCGACCAAAGGGGAGCGAAAAAGGCTCGCCGAGAATCAAGCATCAAGGAGGACAACAAAGGCGCCACAAGCAAGGATGACGGCGGCCACCGAGGTGCCAAGAAGATTCGTGACAACAAAACGAAAGTGAACGGAGGCATGGGTGCCTCGGAGGCGAGCGTTGGCGCCATTGTCACCGCTGCCGCCGCAGGTACCTCTGAGATGAGCACGAAATCGCCAGCAGCAAAACCATCGGTGAAACCGACCAGGAAAGTAAAAGAACCCGCCGACACTATTGTACCGCCTCCTCAACCGACCAGCCGGCCGTCGGATGGAATGGCTCCCTCTGTTGAGATGCTCATTCTGAGGCAGGCGAGGGAGGCGGCCAAAACGGAGGCGGAGGCCAGCGGTAGCGGTCGAAGGCCGCGCGCTCCCTCACGCCGCGCTCTGGAAGCCTCCGGTCGACTGAGGGGCGACGGGGCTCAGTGGATGACCCGGGAGAAAAAGGCCGAGCAAGCCAGGGTCAACTCCGAGCTCCGGAAGAAGAGGAAGGAATCCAGGGAGGCGGGGCTCAAGGTTGGGGTTGTGCTTGAGGCGTTCGTGTGATCGCCGGCACCGACCGGAGCAACACTGGCCGGTGTAGAGAGTCGGGGGTGGGACGGTGGTGGCGGTGGAAGAGGAGGGGTTGTGGGCACAGAGCCGACATTGCCGTAGCACCCCCTCGGCAGCAGCGGCAGTCGTAGACGTTGCGAGGATTTCTTGCTCGTGCGGCGTGAGATAGGCCGGGAACCCAGCCAGACCGATTCTCAGCGGCAGTACTTGACGGAGGGATATGGTCGTGGTTTGTGTCGCTCACGTGAGGGTAAATGCCTTGTCGGGTGGGGAGCTCAAGGAGATATTGTACGGCTGCTGTTGCTGCAACCTAGCAAGCGATGCGGGGATGATGTTGGGCACGAAAACTATCGTAACGTAACACGAAAAGAGTACTAAACAAAGCGGTGCGTCATGATGAGGTGTTCGAGAAGAGGGTAAATTTAATATGGATATCTCATGCGGCGACCGTGGCCCACGTGTTTGTGAGAACGACTGCCTGCGAGAGACGATGTGCGCTAATCACGCTGTGTGAACACAGGGGGGATATTCGATATGGGAATTTGGCGAACAGAATCATGGTGTCGCGCCCGTTTGGGTGGTCATCTTCAGAGCCACGAGTATGCGGCTATCTGTCTGTCCCAAGCGTTTTAGAATGGGCTTTTGTGTTTCCCTGTCGTAGAGACGCGTCTTTGACTTTGATACATATGTTTCGTGTATGTCTTTGAGGGATTCGGTTCTCGTTGGTGCAACGCCCTCTGTTTTTAACCCTCTGTTGCCGTCACGATGCCACGTGGGGTGGAAGGCACCCCCTGGGACGTTATTGTCGTGTGGGTTTGTATCTCCACGCGGTAGGCACTAGACTATGGGTAGTAGACATCTCGTCCGGAGCATCATGAAGACACGGTACTCGGCGTTGGAGGGCCCTTCATCAAGCAAAGACATTGGTCCATCCATTGTGTGGTAAGCGTGTGTTGCGTACGTATGCGGCGCGTGTCGTGAGTCGTGGAACATACGCATAGGGCAGGCACGAGAAGGGGACCCTTAGTTGCTCAGGGGACTTTGCTCTTTTGTATGGGGAAGGACTAACCAAGTAGTCGCCGCCGTCAGTTGCAATGAAACGGTACGGGTTGAATTGTATTGTGTATGAAATGTTTCGTGTCGAGTTTCATTGTAGCGGGGAGATCGCGAAATGTAGTGCAGGCGTACTTTGTTTTCTCGTGTTGTCGTTGTTACGTAACATGACAAAATAACGATATAATCGCAAACCGAATCGAACCTAATCGAATACGTGATGGTGTGCATGTGGCATACTTGGTCATGCTGGCGAGGTGGAACAATCTATGGGTGCATACATGAAGCTTTTGGCATTTCGTGTTAACAACGAGGGACAGCGGGAACACACAAAGAGTACACAACAAAGTGCTGTTTTCATAGAGTGCCCAATCCTTTTCAAGTTTTGCCATGAACAGCCTCTGGCTTGCGCGCCCTGCTGCGTGCATACACACAACGGTGACTCAAAGATGGGTGTTCCACGTGGTGGCTTGTTGGAGGCCGCGTTGGTAGGCCTGTCTTGTCATTCTTCCGAACGAGCTTAACCTCGACACAAGGTTGGTCGTGCTTGTAGCACCACCCGCCCGGTGACATGGCCTGACTGGCGGCGATGCGAGCGAGCACCGTGCAGAGTAGAATCACGTCGTGATGTTGGAAGTGTCGCCAGCTGAGTATGCTAGCCGCACGGTTGTGCCGGTCGCATTGCCAGCAGTGGTTTTGATTCATTCACCAAAATACACAAAGCACGCGAAAGGACGAGACCGCCACTTGCTTCGAGCGTAACCCAGCCTGCTCGAAAAACACAAAAACACCGGTTCCGGTTTTTCTTGTACCGCAAAGAAACAGGTGANTTCTCGTGTTGTCGTTGTTACGTAACATGACAAAATAACGATATAATCGCAAACCGAATCGAACCTAATCGAATACGTGATGGTGTGCATGTGGCATACTTGGTCATGCTGGCGAGGTGGAACAATCTATGGGTGCATACATGAAGCTTTTGGCATTTCGTGTTAACAACGAGGGACAGCGGGAACACACAAAGAGTACACAACAAAGTGCTGTTTTCATAGAGTGCCCAATCCTTTTCAAGTTTTGCCATGAACAGCCTCTGGCTTGCGCGCCCTGCTGCGTGCATACACACAACGGTGACTCAAAGATGGGTGTTCCACGTGGTGGCTTGTTGGAGGCCGCGTTGGTAGGCCTGTCTTGTCATTCTTCCGAACGAGCTTAACCTCGACACAAGGTTGGTCGTGCTTGTAGCACCACCCGCCCGGTGACATGGCCTGACTGGCGGCGATGCGAGCGAGCACCGTGCAGAGTAGAATCACGTCGTGATGTTGGAAGTGTCGCCAGCTGAGTATGCTAGCCGCACGGTTGTGCCGGTCGCATTGCCAGCAGTGGTTTTGATTCATTCACCAAAATACACAAAGCACGCGAAAGGACGAGACCGCCACTTGCTTCGAGCGTAACCCAGCCTGCTCGAAAAACACAAAAACACCGGTTCCGGTTTTTCTTGTACCGCAAAGAAACAGGTGAGATTGTCGTAGTCCATCGCAGACGACGACGCGACCCCAAGGTCTAACCGCGCTTGGCGTAACGCAGCAAGGCCGCACGTGCGGTGAGTACGTCATAGTCGGACAGGTTTTCGCCGACCCTGCCGTTGTTGTAGTAGCCAGTCCACGTCCCGCCTGGCCTACGCGTGTAGGCGACAGCATTCCCAGAAGTAGCAGATCGTCCGTGGATGACACCGACCAGATCGTACCATAACACGACCGGAGGATCTGCACAAAGTAGGCGCATACGGACGAGTGAAATTGGGGGCGGGATAAGGCCTGGGTCTTTGCTTTGCTTTGCTAATGAAATCGTAATGTTCTGATTATCATGCGTCCTTGAGACCAAAAATCAACACCATCTCGACAAAAATCTTTTCATCGTGAGATTATCACGGGTATAGCCCTGTTCGCGGCTTCTAAAGTTCAACCGAGGTCGGTTGTGTTCCACCTTTATTTCCTTCGGTTCCTGGGGAGGCCCTCTTATGTTCTCCTATCCTCTACCCGGACATACATTATTCAGAAACACACAACTTTGCTAAATAGTAGGTCCAGCTACAAGAACGTCGAATACTCTTGCCATTCGGACACCATTGGATGTTCTCGTTGTGTCTTTTGCCACAGCCGACCACAATAGAGCGCCACCACTGTTGCCCACCTCGGAATCGCAATTAAAAGTGCTGTAGTACACATGCGACAAGACGGTTCCCTCTATAGTCGACTGGTACACGTCGCCGTAAAGCAAGGGCACGCAGTCGTGTTACATTCAGCCTAGGGAAAGCAAGTCTACATTTTCGAATTATGTAGCACCGGATAGGCTGCACGGCAACCAAATGTATGATGATCGCCAAGAAGGCATAAAAATTCACTGGGCAAGGGCATCAACCAGGATATTCCTTGTGCTTTGTGTTCCGCACTGCTTCCCAAGTGTGCTACTCCCCCTCGCTGTCGAATCTACAATTGGCCTTTGGCGACGTGCGTCTTCCGACACCTGCCTACAGAGGAAGCAATCACCAAGCGGCGGCTCGGAACCACGTCGATCTGTCTGTGAGTTGCATGGTCCCTAACCAACACCAGACCGAGGTCTAAGTATGTCCTACACACTGTCTCGTATTGAGCCACGATGGTGCTGTGAATTGCTTGTGACTGCCCTCCAATGTGACGAGAAATCACCATGTCCTTCTCTTCAAGACGCACAGTTTCTCGTTCGCGGACCGGAAGTCGACCAACTGGCCCTTTCCTCGATCACAGCAATGTGTAAAAAGAACAAAACTGCTACGCTTTGTGGCGTGGTGTCGATTGTTACTACGGGTAGGGCAAAGTGCAGAGGTGTTGATTGTCGCTTCGTGCAGCACTGCTTGCGTTCAATATTACTTGATTCCCTTGCGTGGCTTCGTTCTCAGCAACGCTATTGTCGTTATCGCTCGGAATGTCCGCGTGCCCTGCGGATTCGCGTCCTGTACTGAGGAGCCCCCATCCAGAATTCAACGAGAGGGTTCCTCTGCGGCACTTGCCTTCACACCGGAAACGCGAGGAGGGTTCCATAGTTCCTTCCCTCGGGTACAAATCTAACAAGCGCACGGTACAACCATGTTAATATGTCGAATGACCTCTCGACCTGTCTGTACTACCATACATACGGCGTACTACCCAAACCAGTTCAATACGTTTGGACTCACCGCTTGTCTCGATGAACACGGCCATGTCCAGACTGGACGGGATCGTTGACGTGCTGCGGGGTGAGAGGTAAAATAGACAGGGATAAACGGGAGTTAGTTCCCACGTCACTACACTCCCAGATAGAAAGGCCTTAACCTTGCCAAGCTACGGCGCCATGGGGATTAATCCACGGCATGCAGGAAATACTATCGTCGCATTTTACGCGAAATTTTACTTCGGCATGAGGGTGGCTCGTCGCCAAAGGGGCGCGTCGGAAAAACACTTCGGAAGCGAGTCGGGCGGAACAGGAACGATGCTTTTGTTCTCGACCACGAGGCGTGACTAGTGGTCCGACAGAGCGAACCAGGCCGCACAGCTTTGGATTTTTCCCACCCGGTTCTCTCTGGGGTGGGAACACACACTACAAAGGTTCGCCTAAATACGATCAATTTCTCTGCGAAAGACGTTCCATGGACAACGAGCGCACGCCCTACTTGTAGATAGATTTGCTCGAGATTCCATAAAGAGGCCGTAGAACGATGACAGCGGCCCTGTTCCATGATTTGGCCCGCCAAGATCGGGACACACATATATTTTTTTGATGTCTCGCTCTCGAGATACGGAGACTTTGGTGCCCGGTCTTCGAGAATGCAAGCGAGGAGAAGTACTGTACGCCGCCGGAACTAGCGATAACGCCTACGTGCTCAAGGGACACGTGCCAAACGCAGCGCACACCTTGGATACCTTCACCCACGTTGGACAAATCAAGAAATCCAAGCGCACACCTGTCGCCCTGAAGCACACACCCATTGTCGGAGGCGGCGCTCAATCTCTCTTTCTGTCTAGCGCGAGACACAGGGTTTGTGTGTGTCCCGAGCTAGATAAAAACAATCAAGGAACCCGAACGCTGTCAACACTTCCGTCTCCGCATAGAATCTCGAGTAAGTGATCACACCTTTCTGTGACGACTGATATTCTCTCTCTCGACTTGTTTAGCGGGCGGGGTCAGCATTGTTGACATGCTTTTTGAAGCATCGCTCCGCAGCTTTCCTCACGTGCGGCGACGGCAACGAACCAAACCCGCCCCC